CGATGAGCAGTGAGCGGGACGGGCTGTTTAGGACTTTCAGGATATTTTTATGTGGGGTGTAATTGATGTTGAACGTTAAAAACTTTTCGGAACTTTTATCAGATTTTCATGTTATCGCCACGCTAAGACTTCCGCTAAAACCTTCAGACTTTGTTCCGACATTAGTCGGATAAATAATTATAACCGTTTCACGTTTCAGTTTTAAATTCTAACGGTTTTCAAAAGTCATGTTTTTCACGGTAACCCCCGAATCAGTTTCGCAAATTGAAAAGTTAGTTTATTTACTTATTTAATTATTCAGAATATTTGCGAAAAACCGCGTACTCTGGTATATCAGTAGCGGGGCGTTACAATATATAAGGGGATGTCATTATTTATATGAATGCATAATGATATGATTATTATTAGATAGTAGTATCATTCATATGTATGCTATTACATAATATTACTGAATTTTAAAATGAAATCCTTGTCATTACTATATTTTAAAACGGTAGTAGTATGATTCAAAATATAACTACACACAAAATTTTTTTTAAAGATCCTCGTTTCGAAGTAATGAGCTCTCTTCACTTAGCCTCATTATTTTACTTCATTTTCTCAACATTCCTACACACTCATCCTAAGTCTAATAGTTTCTAAGTCCAAATTTCCTAAGTCACCACACAAAAATATTTGACCACCCCTCAAAGTCGGGCACCACCCAAGCCGGAGAGCCCTAGCACACGACTGGGTCCCCAGCACACCTTCGTCAGCCGCAACATCAACCCGTACGAGCTCCCAGCTACTCCCGTGCCAATACGCCCGAATCCACACCGAGCCAAGGCCATTGCAAGTTTCCACTAGTCACCTTCATCTTATATTATTCATTTTTTAGCCTCAAAGAAGGTAGTATCCCAAAACCCCTTCTACGACTTAGATATGAATTATAAAGTATTTTAAATATATAGATTTGAGAAAAATGGAGCTAGAATGAGAGATTTAGATTTATTGCCTTTAATTTACTAAAATTTGTATCTTGAGCTATGCATGTCCAAAAATCGTGATTTAAATTCTATAAATCTTAAAATATTGTGTAGATGTTTTATTTTAAATTTGAAAATTTTTTGAGCTCATTTGCTATGTGAAGAAAAATAGTATATCTAGACCTAAAATCGATATTTTATATTGAATGCGTTACAGATCTAATCTTGCTGAAAGATTTTAACCACAAATTATTAATATCATGTTGAGGTTGTGTTTAAATTTGAGGATTTTTTGAGATCATTTGTTATTTGAACTAGAATTTGTAGATCTAGACCTAAAATGACTATTTTATGTTAAATGAGTTTGAGATGTATTCTTACTGAGATATATTAACCAAAATCGTAAATGTCATGTTGACGTTGTATTTAAAATTTGAAGATTTTTGGAGATTATTTGCTATGTGAACTAGAATTGTATATCTAGACCTAAAATGATTATTTTATGTTAAATGAGTTAGAGATCTATTCTTGTTGAGATATTTTAACCAAAATCTTAAATATCAAGTTGAGGTTATGTTTAAATTTTGAGTATTTTTAGAGGTCGTTTGATATGGTTTCAAAAATCGAGACTCTAGCCTTAAATCGGTAAATTTTTAGACATTTGGAATGATGAGATTTAGCTGAGGTTTGGAGATCTAAAATCCTTATATGTAGTGATGAGTTCATTGTTAAAGTTTTATCTTAAAATGAGTCAGGTTGTTTGGAGAACTAGAACCCTAGATCGGGCCATTTTTAGGTGTCGAGTGATTTTAAAAATTCGAGCATACTTTCCCGAGTCATCATAACCTTGAACTCCATATGTCATAAGGAGCCTAATTAATCCCGGGTTGCCGGAAAATTGTCGCCAAGTGGCGTGCCCCTGCACTAAGTCCGACCAAGCGTGCCCTTGCCCTTTGCCCCGCGCCAGTGGTTGTGGCATCCTATGAACCTAAGCGACCGGCCTGTTCCCGAGCGAGCCGCCGGTCCTATCCAACCGAACCGGTCCGGGCAAGCCCGAACGGTTCGAGATTTTCAGTTCAAAATTCTGGTTCAAGCGTGAGACGAGACTTAGTATTTTCCCGAGCCGAGCTAGTTAAAGATTCAGTTAGATAATTAGTTCTAGACTTACAGAAAATTTCCGGAGAACTTTAGATAGCCTCAAGACATTAATTTTACAACTTAGCTCGTTAAATTTTTAAAATGAGATTTAAATATTTTTAAAACCGTGCGAGCGAACCTAGTAGGATCGGATATTAAGAACCGAGTTTTACAAGTTGAGCTGAATACTTAGAATATATTTGCTTAAATATTTTTTAGCTTAAGGAGAGTCGAGTCTCCGCCAGCTACATATTCTTTCCAGCATTTGCATCCAACTATCGGGTGAGGACCATGTACTGTGTATTACATTGCCTATAATTGCTTATCCTGTCTGAGGTATGTGTGTGAGTAGATTAAGGACCGGGATGAATGATTAGTGTCCGTCCTAGGTCGATATGAAGTATGACTTAGATGTGTGGTGAGCGAGCCCATCCTAATTTTAGCGTCCAGATGGGGTGAGCCTTTCCTGGATTTCTGTGGGAGGTGACCCCCATAGTGTGCACATGAGTACTGGAGAGTTCAGTTGTCCCAAATAGCTGATTTATTTATATATATGTTGATGTCATGATTTGCTATAATTAATGTTGTATATTCAATGTCGGTTTCTGCGGAGCACGTGAACTTTATACTCACACCCTCACTTTCTGTCTTTTCAGATGACAGAGTCCAGCGTGGCGCGTGAGCAATATAGGTGGTGGCGGTCAAAGCATGTGGATATTTTGAAAAACGTGCATGAGATTATTTGAGCATGTTTGTGAATTAATTATATTTGATCATTAACTTCCGCATTGTCAGATATGTATGAGATCATGAGACATTAGACTCATATTTAAATCCAGTAGTTTTCATGGTACCTAATCTTGAGAGTGGATGTTCATGTGCGATTTTACACCATATTCATATAGTATCTAGAGCTTAATTGTTGCATTATTGGTGTATAAATTGCACATTTGTGCTTTAATTTTATATTTGTTGGAAAGGTATTACACATGCTCGTTTTGTAGATATTTTCACATATTTGTAGAGCTTTGGCTATTGGAGGAGCATAGTGAGTGCCTGAGACTCCCGGGATAATGATAGATCGATGCACGAATGAAGAGAATGGAAGAAAAGAGCGAAACGAGTCGAAAATGAGCGTACAGTGGTGTGACACGACCCGTGACACGGGATCCGAGGTTGTGTCACCACCCGTGTCATCCAAACAGAGAAGTGTAAGTGCAGAATA